TCTATCTATCTATCTATCTATCTATCTATCTATCTATCTATCTATCTGTCTGTCTGTCTGTTTATCCTTATTTTTAACTATCTGAAGTGTGACTATGTTATCTTACCTATATAGTTGAAAAATTGCTCAATGACAATTGTCTAGATAGGGTGACACTTCTATAAACTGTGGTTCTTACATTGGTTCTTACGTACTTTTCTATTGTCTAGGTAGAGAAACAGACTGGGTAATGGCCATAATGCTTGTCTTGGAGTCAGGAAAACCTCGGTTCACCTAATACCTTTGTCATTTACTAGCTGCATAATCCCAGAGGCTCCACTTTCCTCATCTGTAAAATGGGGATGATAACAGTATTACCCACCTCACAAAATCGTTGTAAACCTCAAATGAAATAAGTTGTGAAAAACACATAACAGTGCATATAATCATATATACAAACAATTATTGTGATTATATATTAGCAAATTGCTTTGCAGGTGAAAAATTATTAGTATTTTCTAGGTGACATACTTTTATTTCAAATTTATTACAAAAGTGTTCTTTTTCTAAAATTACATATTTCCAGCAGCATGGTTTTAAAACTAGAACTTGCCTTACTAGTTGGGCTTTGCAGTTTAGCCTGGGAAAGTTCCCGGTTGGTTACTAAGTAGGTTAGCTCCACCCAACAGCTGTAATCTGATACAAGTTGTAAGGAAACCAGGAAGTTCGTTAGGTGCACTGTCAGTCTTCTGAAGGTAAGTGTGTCTTTGAGTGGTCTCTCGGTCAAGAGTCCTGCTGGACAAAGCATTTGCAGTCTTATATAAAAGTCTAATTAGTATGAGGTTCACGAGGAAGAGTCCAGAAAGTGAATATTTAAGTGGAGAATAGGAGATTGGCAGGAGATAGGGAACAAATGCTTTTTTTTTTTTGAATGATTTTCTTATGCTTGTATTGTGGTAATGCATGCTCTGAAGGGCAGGGAATTAATGAGCTGTCCCATGACATTGAGTAATGTGCTTTAATAAGAAGAAAAGTGTGGCAATAAGGAGAAGAGTGTTTTCTCAGTTTAATAATGAAAAGCTCTAATTTTGTTTGTGCAAAAATTTCTGGGTTTAATTATTATAATTTTGAAACTACTGGGAATACAGCTTTAATTACAAAATTGGATGGCACTGCTGTATGGGAATTGATTCAGGCTTTAATTGGCTTTTTAAATACCAAGAGGCTTTTAGCCAGAAGTTTTAGTCCCAAACCTTGTAATCTGGCTTTTTTTTAAACAAAAATTCAGGGATCTGTGTTTGGTCCTGTGCTGTTTAATATTTTATCAGAGACTAGAATAGAAGCATAAATGTCATGCTTGTCAAATTTATTTGCTTCTAAAGTTGTGGAAAACTTGTAGCATCTCAAAAATTATTCCCTACTGCCTTTATTTCTTGTTCTGTAATCTATTGTAGCAGGTTTCCAGTATGTTGAAAGGGTGAATTTCCAGTTTGCAAATCTGTTGCTTGTCTTCCAAGAACTCAACTTCATTACTTGAAGGTCTTTCTCCAATTTGATTTTGTCCTTGGATAGTGTGAGAGATATGTGACTTAAAGTGGATTGGTTTCAGATCTAGGTTTCATTTTCAGAGTGAAAAAGGACCCAAACTTTAAATTTTAATTGGTTTTGCATGAAGCAGGGGAAAGTACACTAATTTGACTAGTAGAGGAAAGATGAAGTTGTATGGTTTATGCCCCTTTAATGGGATGCACCTTTTTTGGGAGGGGGGCAGGCAATTGGGGTTAAGTGACTTGCCCACAGTCACACAGCTAGTGAGTGTTATGTGTCTGAGGCTGGATTTGAACTCAGGGGCTCCTGACTCCAGGGCCAGTGTTCTATCCACTTCACTGCCTAGTTGCCCTTTCCCCCCCACTTTTTTTTTTTGATGCACCTTTTCTACCTGACACTTATTATCAGTTCAGTTAAAAAAAAACCTCAATTATGTACCAATTATGAGCCACTGGGGATATAAGGACAAAACCAGTATTTGCCCCTATATTTATATTGCATTACAAAGAATTTTTCTTATAATGATGCTGAATCAGGTAGTCTGTTTTATGTCTTTATTAGTAACATATTAACTGACATTTATATAGTACTTTAAGGTGTGCAAAGCAGTTTGCTACATATCTGATTTTATCCTCACAAAAACTCTGTTGTATAAGTCTATAAGTATCATTATCCCTGTTTTCTAGATGAGGAAACCCAGACTTAGAGAGAGGTTGAGTGACTTACTTGTGATCACACGGCTATTACATGTCAGAGCTGGTAAATGAACTTAGGTTTCTTGGAATACTTTGTAAAATGTTATATGACTATGAGTTGTCCTTAATGCTTTTTTGAGTTCAGTACTTTTCCCTGCAAATTGTGGGGATGCCTGTCAATTGGGGAATGGCTTAACAAGTCGTGGTATATGATTGTGAGGGAATACTACTGTGTTATAAGAAATGATGAGCTCATTGAATTTAGAAAAACATTTTTAGATTTGCATGATATAATGAAGAGCATAATGAGCAGAACCAAGACAATGTTATATTCAATAACAGCAATATTGTTTTAAGAACAACATTGAGTGACTAAGTCATTTTGACAATTGTAAACACCCGAATTAACTACAAAGGACATGGGAAGGAAGATGCTTTTTGCATCTAGAGAAAGAAATGATAAATAGAAGTATGTATAGAATGATTTTACATATATTCATATTTGTGTCTATTGGTAGCCATCTCTAGAGCGGGGAGGAAGGAAGGGAAGAAAAAAAGGAAAAATTAAGAAATTTACACGATTACTTTATTGTATATTTAAAAGAAATAGTGAGTTGTATGTAATAAATTTTCAGTTTCATGCTATGTTATGGAAATGCTTGTTTTAGTTAATAAATTAAGAATAAAATAAAATAAAATAAAGAAGGTTCTTTCCAGCTCAAAGATTTTTTGCACTGAGATTAATATGCATTGACAATTAGCAACCTATTAAACTGATACTTTTATGCACTGCACAGATTACCCAAATATGTGTGATCATATCTCTTATATGGGTAGCAGATTTAATGAAATTCTGTTAAAAAAATAATGTTTACACTGTGTAGTTAGATTAGTATTCTCATTGCTTCACAAACAAACCATATTCCTTTTTCTCCCCCCATACCTTCAAATTTCTTCCACCCTCTTTTCTGCCTATACCAACTCATAGTTTAAGACCCAGTTCAGGTCGCAGCTGCTACCCAAAACCTACTCTGCTTGAACCCTTATTGGTCTCTCTTCTCTGAATATCTTTTCATTATATACTGTCTTGTATCATTCACTGTTGTTTCATATTGCATTCTCAAGTGGTCTATCTACTTCTTGTGCTCCGAGTGATGGCTTATAGTTTTGTATCTCTAATAGCATCTAACACTGTGTTTAAAGTATAGCAGAAGGTCACAACAACTCAGGACTTGTTAGACGATTGGCTGGTTGACAGAAGACAAACTTGGGTCAGATAACCTTTTGTTTTAAGATGACAGACTGACCAATACAGTGAATCTCAAAGCAGTCATTTCCTTTAAAAATACTGAAACTATAAAATGCTGGGTAAGTTGAGCAGAAAACATTTTATTAAGAACTTTGACTCTCTCTCCTTTCCTTCCTTCTTATGAATCTGTCATTTGTTGTAGAATTCAAATCCTTTTACTCTTTGAAGGATTCATAATTTAGTTGGGTATTATTTCAGAAAGGTGCTGACATTTAAAAAATACCTTAGATAATCTCATTAGTTAGTTATAAATTCTTAATCTCTCTATCATTCTTATGTAATTGGCAATATGATCCTTGTCCCTACTATTTTTTTTTGCCCCTACTGTTTTTCAAGGCATTTGGCTAACTTAGGAAAATTGCTTGTTGAAAATCATGGAACACTAAGAAACTGAAGTTAGAAAACAGACCTGATGACTTCTTGTAGTGTAAAGAACATTGCTGAGTGATCAGCAAATTGCTGGACTTGGAGTCAAGAAGACCCAAGTTTGAATCTTGCCTCAGACATTTATTAACTGTGTGATGCTGAGTGAATCTCTGGGCCTCATTTTCCACATCTGTAAACTAGGAATAATAATAGCACCTGACTCTCAGGTGCTGATGACAACTCAGGTTTGTTATTAGAATCAAATGAGATAATGTAAGTAAAGAATTTTGTAAACCTTTAAGTGCTATATAAATGTTAGTTATCATCATCATCATCATCATCATCATCATCATCATCATCATCAATATTATTAATTTGAAAGCAAAGGACCTGGTTCCAAATCCTGACTCTGACATTATCACCTTTGGTCAAGTCATTTAAACTCTTTGATCCTCAGTAGAGGATCGAATTTTCTATATCAAAGGGATATTTTGAGGAAAGTACTTTATAAAACTTAACTTGATATATTAATGAGTATTTTCAGATTCCTTGTTCTTTATTGTCTACTCAATCATTATACCATTTCTTTTATCTTCTAGCAGCTTTCACTAAACTCTAAAACTGTTGTCTCTATGTCACTGGTTCGTTCCGTGTAACTGTGTCAGTGGGTCTCCAGTGGGGTATTTCAGAAATCCATGCTTGGCTCTGCCCTGTAGGTTAAAGGCATAAATAGCACAAAACTGGATGGCAGGATCCAGAAGGATCTTGAAAGATTAGAGCACTGGGCTGAATCTAATAAAATGAAATTCATTAGCAATACACATAAAGGCTTACACTTGGGTACAAAAAATATGCAAGTATAAGATGTTGTTGAGTCATCTCTGACTCTTTATGAGCTTGTGGACCATAATGTCCATGGGGTTTTCTTGGCAAACATACTGGAATGGCTTGCCATTTCCTTCTCCAGTGGATTAAGTCAAACAGAATTTAAATAATTTTCCCAGGGTCACACAGTTAATAAGTATCTGAGGCTGGATTTGAACTCAGCTCTTCCTGACTCTAGGCTCAATGCTATATCCACTGAGCCACCTAGCTACCTCAAGTATAAGGAATTATTGTTAAACAGTAGTTGTTCTGAAAAGGATCTGGGAATTTTAATGGATTGTAAGGTCAACTCTGTGATGTGGTAGCCCCCCCTCCCCAAAAAAGGGTTAATGCAATGTTAGGCTGCAGTAAGAGAGACATAGCTTCTAGGAATATGGAAGATGATAATCCATCATCATCAAATCTCATCTAGAATATCTTCACCACTTTGGGGCACCATGGTCCAAGAAGATGGAGAATGTCCAGAGAGGGGCAACAACCTGGAGTCTGTGTCATATGAGGACTAGTTGAAGGAACTAGGTCTGTTTAGCCTGGAGAAGACTCAGGGGCAACATGATAATTATCTTCAAATATTTGAAGGTCTGTTATAGAAAAATATTTTATTATGTTCAGAAAACCTTATTAATATTGTTTAAACCTAGCTTGATGTGGCTAGAAATTGACTGGTCTCAGAGGTGCTCCTAGGGAAGCTGGACAGCTGCAGGGAATACTTGGATCTCTTCCAGGTTTTGGATCCATCCAATGCTTGTGTTTTGGGTCCCTCAAATTTGAGCGTTTATGCTTGCTGATATACATCTTAGTGGATCTTGTATGGGAACTACCCTGTCTTCAAAATAGCTATTAGTCAGGGGCAGCTAGGTGGTACAGTGGATAGAGCGCCAGCCCTGGAGTCAGAAGGACCTGAGTTCAAATCCGACCTCAGACACATGATACTTACTAGCTGTGTGACTCT